TTTTAACTCCAATTAACTACTCAAAAATCAAAGGTGGAACTGTGGCTCAAAGTGGTAAAGTGCTAGTCTTGAGCAAGAGCTCAGGGACAGTGCCCAGGCCCTGAGTTCAAGCCCCATGGCTGACAAAAACAAAACAAACATACACAAAAAAAACTCTAACTTCATTTCTAAAGATAGGCAGCAAACTGAATTTGGCCTACCTACTATAGTTTGCCCACCTCTGCTAATAATCACACGCCTAAAAAGGCCCAGACACTGAGGGTAGTAATGGTGGGATTATAACATGAGATGGTAAATGCATTTGTGATCTTGTTAAACAAAGCCAGATTCTTACTCTACAGAGTTTCTATCATTTAGTTCAACTGTCAGCAATTCCCCTACAGCCTTGCCATGAAGATGTTTTACCCAGTTTTGAATATTTGCCAGTCTAATAGGTGAGAAGTTGTATCTCTGCGATTTTAATATTTGTACTAATTTGTGAGGGTTGACTATTTCAGTGTCCATGATCCACCTTCCTTTGGCTGTTTTACTATTAGATTGTTGTTCTTGTCTTTCTGATTTATAGGTGTTTATAGGCATTTCTGATTTATAGAGTGGCCTTTAATGTGTACACTGTGGTTGTTGATAGTGGTGAAAGATGTCAGTGAGGTCTAGTTAGGTGTCAGTGTTACTCAGATGGTAGTGATCCTGGGCCATGAGCATTTCAAAGTAAATATGGAACTCAGTTATGAGGCTGATTCTAAGAGAAAATATTTGGAGTAAAGGTAGGTGATATTTATATAAATAACAGTGGTGAGATGAGCTAGGAAAAGAGAAGCGTTCAAAGCTGAACCCCAGAACACACCATGTTTGAAAGAGAGGAGAGGTGAACAATCCACAAAACAACCCAAGGAGGGCATTGGTAAGGTGGGAAAGAAAGCAAAGAGCCACCTCAAAAGCAGAGGAAAGGAAGCATGTCAAGGCGGGAAGACTGTGAAATGCTCTGAGAGAGTGCATGTTAGAGACTTTTTGCTGGGAAATCATTTGGCAAAATGCAAACTGTTGGTGACCTTGACAGGAATACTTATAGTGAAATGCCAGTTCTCCCATTAGACAAGGCGATTAGAGACATGTAGCAGGCAACTGGACAGTTGTTGATGAACTTGATATGTTAGGCAGAATTGTCAAGATCTACCATAGCAATCTTTTGTTTTCCATGGGCAATGTTTAACTGCTCAGATATAGACAGAGCTGTATTATATCAGAGCTGATATTCTGCTTAGCATGGATGGATAGATGGATGATGGATGGATGGATGAAGGAAGGAAGGAATCTAGGTGGGGCACACGAGAGGAGTAAGGAATGGTAAGAGTACTTAAAACTCAAAACTGGGAAGACAGTGGATTGGAGGCCAGGTTGGTCAGAGCCCAAGTTAGCATACTTTATAAGCACCATATACATAACACATCAGCCAGTCTCTTTTGAGAGAATTCCACACAAGCTTAATGTTCTGTAGTTCATCAAGAAGGAACACAATGAGGCCAGGTAAAGATTTCTTAAGTTTTATTCTTATTTCAGTTTACAACAATTCAGATGACAGAAGCCCACTATAAATGGGTATACTATATCTTAGAATGTAAGGCAACAAAACCCAGCCACTCAAAAGACTTTTAAATGTACCTCATGTGGCTAAATCACTGATAGTCTATGGCATGGAACTTTTTATGTCTCCCAGAAAGTACATTATCATAAGTTTCTATTTCAACAGGTTCTAAGAAATTTTATTTTTGAAAGAAAAAAAGATTGGTAGGTAAGAATAAAAATATGATTTAAAAAGTTTATCCATGTGTAAATAAAGTATCTAATAAGTTAGTGAAATGAAGAATTTGGGAAATCAGGAGTTTTATGTGGTATAAAAATAAATACTTTTATCTGAGTGTGGTAGCACATACCTGTAATACCAGCACTGAGGAGAGAGGGGCGGGAGGATCTTGAGTTCAAGGCCAGCCTGAACTATATAGTGAGATCATGTCTCAAAAAAAAAAAACCCCAACAAACTGTTAATTTACAATATATAAAACTGATAATAACTTACTTTTATAAGTAAATAAAAGAAAACATCTTACTGATTGTAAACTTATGTGAAAGCTTTCAAAGGCCAAACATCATTTTTAAAAGGATCTCTATCTCTTTATAATGAATTCAGCTAATTAGCTAATCAGTGGCTGATTTCCCATTCCCCCTATTATATGACTTCTCGATGTTCTATTGCCCTAACCAAGGCTGAGGCAGAAGAAGGAAAGAAGAAAATCTCACATCAGCCATCCTCATAGCCACACCTGACTGGGGAAGGTAGTGGCAATCACATTCTCTATGGAATTAGACATTGTTCTCTATTCTTAAATGTTCATTATGCAAATGAAAAATTATTTGTAAAATAAAATAGGTTTGCTATTTCATTAGAGTTCTTGAACCTGGGGACATGAAAGATGTACAATTATCACCATTTGAATGAATTGGACAGAAATGTTCCTGTCTGAAATCTAAAAGAAGATACAGCAACATTGAACTTGTCCCTCAGCTAGGTAGGTGCTCCTGGAACACTTGGAGGATGCCACAAAGATCTCAGGCCTGGACTTCAGGGAGTTCACAATTGGGCTACTTTCAGCCATGGAACTTTAACCACATAACTCCTGAGTTTCCCATCTGCCTACTTCACAGACATGGTAGCAAGTATAAAACAAGGCAATGTGTTCAAGTGTGTCTCAGAAGACATACTGCACCAGACTACAGTTATCAGCCTGTGCTTTAAAAATGTAGCTAGCTCTGAATTCTTTTGTGGGTTAAACAAAATCAATAGAAAAAAATGGAGAAATGTAAATGTTCATGAGTCAGTGAGCCCAGGTGTATGTAAGTAATTTACAAACACTTCTTCACAATAACATCAAAGATATTACTCATGGACTTTTTTAAATTAAAAATAATCTTTGAGGCTAAATATTCAGCAACTTAAACTTATTCATTCTTTCATTTACAAGAATATTCACTAGAAGACATTATAACTCTCCAAAGGAGAGATTCCATATTTAGTTCAGTTCTCTGCCCTAAACAGTTAATTATAAGGCAGAAGAATGAAATAGAGTTTAAAATAAGCAAAAATATATAATTCTACACCACAGTCCCCTTATTTTAAAGCGCTTAATAAGAGTACTTTATATTTATAAACCATCTAGTATCTATACAATAGCACTAACTCACAACTTGAACCACAATAATCAAAGTCAATGTGCATTTTTATTCTCATTTAAATTACTAAAAGTTTGATGTTGTTGAAAAATTGCACTGCATTAAAAAATGAACAATAGGTGATAAACGTGGTTACTATTGAACAACTAAGTGTTGGTTGAGTGTTTAGAATATAGGATGGGAATTTTAAAAAATGATTGAAGAAATACAGCAGTGTATATGACAGGGTTCCAGTAGAAATGGGTTTGGGCAATGGATGCCATGTACAGATATGCACACTGAGTAAGGTAACTGACAACCTCTCCTTCAGAGGAGCAAATGATATGCTTCTTACAAGGACAAAGGAACTACTTGTCATTCTAAATAATACCGCTGAATTATAGTAGGTGATACAGGAATTTTAAAAAGAGAGAGAGAGAAGAAATGTACACATTGTAGTGTAAATAACTACTACTAAGTTCTGGTCAGTAGCAAAATTTGGGGACCAAATGATGCAAACATATTAATGTGCTTAAGAATAACTTGAAGCTGGGCATTGTCAGCTGATATCTGCAATGTTAGCTACTAAGGAAACGGAGATCTGAAGGATTATTATTTGAAGTCTGGGAAGAAAAGTCATGAAACTCCATTTCCAAAATTACCACCAAAAAGCAGGACTGGAAATGTGGCTCAAATGGTAGACTGCCAGCCATGAAGTATTGAGGCCCTGTCTCATACAGCCAAAAAATTTAACTTCATAATGCTGATGTTTCAATAGCACTAGGACCTTTACTGTTGGCAACCCAAGATTTAGTTTTTCATCAAAGGCTTCTCTGTTTCTGTTTCTGTCTCTCCCTCTCTCTCTCTCTTTCTCTCATACACACACATTCATACACATAGATTACCATATCATCTCATAGCTCATACAAAAGCAAATTATCAAACAAATGCAGCTCAGATCATCACCTGTTCTTTACTATGAAGTTTTCTGAAAAGTATCACCACTTTTTCCAACAAATCAATGGTCAAAATCAGCTCACTGCTTTCATTAAAGATCTCTCAAGGGCTGGGAAGGTGGCTCAGTGGTAGAGCGCTTGCCTTTCATGCATGAGGCCCTGGGTTCGATTCCTCAGCACCACATAAGCAAAAATTAAAAAGCCGGAAGTGGTGCTGTGGCTCAAGTGGTAGAGTGCCAGCCTTGAACTGAAGAGCTGAGGGACAGGGCCCAAGCCCAGAGTTCAGGCCCCACGACCAGACCCCCACAAAAAAAAAAAAAGGACTCTCAAGATCTTTCTACGATCCCAGAACTCATGAGGCAAGATGACTGTGAATTTGAGTCAGCCTCAGCAAAAAGCAGGACATTATCTTTAATTTTTTTTAAAAAAGGTTCTCTTTAAGGGTGGCCTGCCAAGAACTTTCAGGGTTGAGATTGAATTAGCATTGGCCCATGTTAGACACAGGGAGAAATGAGTTTACCCTAGGCCAGGCAGAGAATAGGTAAGTCATTTTAGGACCTTTACATTTGTCCCCAGATGGCACAGAGGGTGTATTTAGCACAATAAGAAGCATGGTTGGTCCCTTTCATTCAATAACATCCCCTTTGCAGTACAACATACCTATCTATGCAAAGACAAAAACAGCTAAACTTTAAAGCTCAGTTGCTTCTAACCTCCTGTTACAACTCAAACAATAATAAAGTATATTTCTGCTAGGTCTGTGGTTTCAAAAGTATCCATTGTAAACATCCTGTATTCTTTCCTATTCTGTTAATTTCAGAACTTGAGCTTGTAGCTATGTCTATGTCAAATTATTTATTCTACAAAAAGCAGCACAAATACCATTGATTTTAGTTTCAGCACAAGTTCCTTTAACAAGAAAAAAAAAGTTAAGGCCATTTAATGGAATCAGGGCCAAGTGAAGATTACCCTGCAAGGTCACATGATTGATATAGAAGTTCTGGAAAGGAACCAGCTGTGGGTTATCTTGTATTTCATTCCTCAGCAGCTTGAGGACAGTCTGCAAAATTCCTTAGTCTCCAACATCTCCATCTCGGTCTCCAATAAGCCAAAGGAAGTGGAAACCCATGGCTAACAATGCTGTCCCAAGCAGGTCACCTAGTGCTGTCAGGTAAGGGATGGAGAAACTGTCCGGGTCCTTCCCTTTCCTCCAGAAGTGATGGACCATCCAGTCAGCGATCCACAGCAGGGTAAAGACCTAGGAGAGACACCAGAGATGACTCAGCCATCCAACAGCCTGACCCTGTTACACATGGCTATGAGCTGAAGCAATGATCTCTCAAAGGAAAAACATGTGCTCAAGCCAAGAGCCATGCTTGAAAAGAAATATTTAATTAACAGAGAATTTTCTATATGCAAGAAAAAATAACATGTGTTTGTAGTTCTTAACATTTTTCTTCAGCTTTTCACCTTCAGGGTCTCATTCCATCCAGCCTCCTCAACAGCCATCATGGTTCTTATGTTCTAATAGCACTACAGGCTTTCCCCAAAGCACTGTTCAGCTACAGCTTTTCCTATGTGATAGGTTTGTGATGAAGGAATAAGACCTATAAGAAAGGACTGGAAATTAAAATGAGGAATTATTTAACAGTCTCTTATTTCAGGTACATCAAAGGAAACAGGGACATAAGTTATGTTCATTTACTAAAGAAAAATTAAGCATTATTTCATTAGGAAGCTGAATGCTGGAAACAAGACTTGAGGGTAGATAGCCAAACCTTCAATATCACAACTAAAAGTCAATGGATAATTCCCCAAATTGATCATGCAAAATTATCCAACAAATAAAACATGGGGCTAAAATAAGAAAAACTAAAGAAGTATGGAGAAACAGTAGCTGCTGTTTTACAGGCATGTACATTTACATGCACATATCCATTTACATCTATGAAACTGCTATTCAAAAACTGAAATTGAACAAAATAGAATTGTCTACATGAGAAAATAGAGCACACACAAGGTACACACAAAGAATATTTCATAAGCCTTTTTTTTTGTTAGTCATGGGGCTTGAACTCTGGGCCTGGGTGCTCTCCCTGAGCTCTTCAGCTCAAGGCTAGTACTCTTCCACTTGAGCCACAGTGCCACTTCCAGTTTTCTGAGTGGTTTACTGGAGATAAGAGTCTCATGGACTTTCCTGCCCAGGCTGGCTTTGAACCATGATCCTCAATCTCAGACTCCTGAGAAGCTGGGATTACATGTATGAGCCACTGGCACCCAGCACCTTTGTTTTTACTTATGCATATATATATATATATATATATATATACTATATTTTATACATATAGCTATATGCGTTAATTAAAAAGTTTTTTATTGAGTGTTATTGTCAAAATAATTTTGGAGCTAGCTGTGGTGGTGTACAGCTATAATCCCAGCATTTGGAAGGAAAAGGCAGGAGAATTGTGAGTTCAAGGCCAGCCTGGACTATATATTGAGATTCTGTATCATAAAAACTGAAAAATCAAAAGTAAAATAAAAATAAACACTCATCCGGAAGTGGCACTGTGGCTCAAGTGATAGTGCTATCTGTGAGCAGAGAGGCTCAGGGACAGAGCCAAGGCCCTGAGTTCAAGCCCCAGGACCAGAAAAATAAAAAAAGTTGCTCATCTATGGCAGGGTGTGAGCCGCTCACACTTGTAATCCTAAGTACTCAGGAAGCTGAGATCTGAGGATCATGGTTCAAAGACAGCCTAAGTAAGAAAGTCTGTGAGACTATTATCTCCAATTAACCACCAGAAAACTGGAAGTGGAGCTATGGCTTAAAGTGTTACCCCTGAGTGAAAAAGTTCAGAGACAGTGCCTAGGCCTTGAGGTCAAGCCCCACAACCAACAACAAGAACAAAAAGTTATTCATTTAACCAATAGCAGGTTAGGTTCCAAGATTTAATAGGTAAATCCTGGGTAGGGGAAAACTGTGTCTTCTTTTTACTTGATCCTCTGGATTCTAGAAAAATACTTACAAATGATAAACCTAAAACAGTTATTGTGAAAAAGGGTCTCTGTCTTTGAATAACCGTGCTACAGTCAATATGAAAAAAAAATCTCCATGTCTGACTTTCCTCATGAGCCTTCCATACCTATCACACATGGGCTGGCTACAGCAATGGAGGGGATTATGTATGGAAAGGGCCACGTCCATGCCAGTTTCTAGTACCAGACTCACTATATTACATCAGTTACTACACTGGCTCAGAACGTGTGTGGCCTTTATTTAAAAGGTTAACAGCACAGAAGCATGAACACTGGTTTCTAACATCAATGGGCTCCATGACTCCTGGACCTTGGATCTTTAAAATTAATGAGTGTTTTCACAGCCTGTTTTAGCTCTAAACTAGAAAGGTAAGTGATCGTTGCCATAAACTAGAATGATCACTCTACTCAGCTTTGTTTTCCCCTTCCTCTCTCCCTCCTTTCTCCCTTCACTTTGTACATTTACATAATATGCTGCAGACTCAAGTTCCCTCCCTATACAATTCCTCTCTTAAAGCTATTATGATGACTTCAGGTTCAAGCAGGTTTGAATTTTATTTTTCAAAACGCCTTTGCAAAACTCCTTTTTCCTTAGAATGCTGTGTGTAATAAATTATTAACAATAATATCAGCTCTTTCTCAGTGGAACATACTTTGTTTCAAATTGGAATGATCATTGAAGGAATGCAGACTTTCCACTGGGACAGCCATGCATGTCAGCTATCAGACCAATGGGAGACTGCTGTGTTTTTATATTGTCTGTTTTTTTAAATTAAATATGCATAACCTCTCTAGGTAAATATTCCTCTACCATGGCAACTTTGTAACTCTGGCTAATTATGCAAGTTACAGATGTACTGCTTGGATTTAAATAAATATGTAAGCACCAGAATATATATTTGCTTTGGATGATCTTGCTTTTCTAGGCCGGCTCCTTCTCTGAGCTAGAATGAGCCTTCTCATGTATTAGCATCCTTCTAATGCTGCCATCACAGCCTGCGGGTTGTATAAAGAAAGATCATTTCTTTGGGACAGAAATGCTAAGAAACATGGGACAAATAAACCCCAGAAGTATCAAGTTAGTACAGTTCTTCCCAACCCCTAACGTTACAGAGGTTGAATTCATGCCCTCAACAAATATCCACACTTGTTAAAAATCTAATATTTAAATGACTTCTAGGAATTATTTAGAATTTCCATTCATCAGGAATTCAGTCTGCTTTCCACAGCTGCTTTGTGTGAGGTGGCAGGTGGGGGGAGGAGGATGAATGTTCTGCAGGGAAACAAAGTCTTCCTGACCTTTTCCTTCCTTGACACTGTGGCAGGGTTAGCACCTCTGTCTTCAGAGCACAAGATTTAGGTCACTAAGGTTAAGTGGCTTGTCCAGTTAGACCACTAGCTAAGATCTGTTGCCCCCGAAGCCCCCATGGCTTCCCCTGGTATCACTTTACTCCTGTGGAGCAGTGAAAGTATTTCTATCTGTAGATTAATATCCCCCAATAAATGCATACTTTATAAAAAAAAATATGCACACGCGCGCGCACACACACACACACACACACACACACACACACAACATAGTCCATTTGAAGCTTCTATTTTTAGCAGCACTGCCAACAGCCTGCCCAGTGAAGACAAGTTAAAATGTTCCATATACTATAAGTAAACAAATGTCTTTAAAAAAATGCTCCAGTGAGTTGCATGGAGTAAAGAAGGCTCAGAGGGAAACTGGTGTGCAGAAGGTATGGAGCACTGAAGCCCTTGGTCCTGAAGGCATCTCCAGTTAACCAGAAAGGTGCTGGACCAGAGGTGCAGCTCAAGTAGGAAAATGCCAGAGTACAAGCCCTGGTATTTGCTCTCTCTTTCTCTCCCTCTCCCTCTCTCTCCTTCCCTCCCCCCTCTCTGTTTGTCCATTTGTCTGTCCTTCTGTCTATCTCTCTCTTTTCCCCCCACCTCCCTAAAGAGTGGATTTTAAACACTGCCATCACAAATTAACAATTAGGAGATTGTATTTTATTATATGACTTAAAAACTTTTGAGCCAGACACTGGTGGCTCATGCCTGTCATCCTAGCTACTCAGGAGGCTGATATCTGAGGATCACAGTTCAAAGCCAGCTAGGGCAGGAACGTCCCTGAGATTCTTATCTCCAATTAACCACCAGAAAACCAGAAGTGGCGCTATGGCTCAAGTGGTAGAGCGCTAGCCTTGAGCTGAAGAGCTGAAGGGCAGCACTGAGGCCCAGAGCTCAAGTCCCACAACTGACAAAAAAAAGTTAGGGGTATATCTCAGTGACAGAGTGAACTTAGTATATACAAAGCCCTGGATTTAATTTCTAGCACCAAGGAAAAAATTCCTCATTTTGAGAAGAAGCCCATAATATATGTGTGTGTGTGTGTGTGTGTGTGTGTGTATATATATATATATATATATATATATATTAACTTAACTTTCCAAGGAGGGAAGCATGGTTCTATATAGAGTGCCTGCCTGCCTAGCAAACAGAGTCCTAAGATCAAACCTCCAATACCACCAAAAAAAAAAGAGAAAAAAACAAAAACAAAGAAAGTGTATATAACAGATTAATATCCAGAATACATAAAGAGCTTCAAAAACCAAACAGAAAAGAACAAATAATTCAGTTGGCAAATGAACAAATTAATGGAACAGATAGTTCTCAAAAGAAATATAAACGATTGGGGTTGGGAAGGTGGCTCAGTGGTAGAGCGTTTGCCTTGCATGCATGAGGCCCTGGGTTCGATTCCTCAGCACCACATAAGCAAAAAGAAAAAAGCTGGAAGTGGTATTGTGGCTCAAGTGGTAGAGCGCTAGCCTTGAGCTGAAGTGCTGAGGGGCAGCATTCAGGCCCCACGACTGGACCCCCCCAACAAAAAGACATACAAATGACTAATATAAAAATATGAAGAAATTTGCTGGGTACTGGTGGCCCACGCCTATAATCCTAGCTGCTCAGGAGGCTGAGAGCTGAAGATTGTGGTTCAAAGCCAGCCTAGGCACAAAAGTCCATGAGACTCTTATCTCCAATAAACCACTCAGAAAACTGGAAGTGGTGCTGTGGTTCAAGTGGTAAAGTGCTAGCCTTGAGCTGAAGAGCTGAGGGACAATGCCCAGGCCCAGAGTTCAAGCTCCATGGCTGACAACAAAAAAGAAAAAGAAAAAAGAAAAAAAATTCAGAATCCTTTTCCATAAAGAAAATACACTGAGA